AATTTCTGGAATAATGTAGACTTGCTGTCACTTGATCTCCAGGAAATGTTCTCAGATAATACTGGTGTGTAAATTCATAGAATACTTCTGCTAAAGAATACTGATGAAAGTGCTGGAGTAGTGTTGAGACTTGCTGTCACTTGGTCACCATTAAAAGACGCCAGATAGCACTGGTATGAAAACTTAATGACTAATGAATGATAATTGTAATGCTAATCAAAATTATTAGTGTCAGTGCCAAACATTTTTACAGTTCTGACAAATTGCAATAACCAAAATGTTAATGATGATCCATTTTCAGCATTTTTATTTCTCCCAAACCAAATATTGAGAGAAAGCAGTTCCCAATTCTCCTTTTCCTCATTTGTTCCAATTATGAAGATGAAATTTGTCATCTCGTATCAAAGAGTAACTTTGTTCATTGCTGAAGCTAACGCAATTTTCTCATTTAATTCGTCTAATTAGACTGGAATCTTTTTATTGGGCATTGGCGTTAAATGAACCAATTTCCGGTTGTTAGCTGGATGAGAAAAACAAAGTTCTATTGTCGAAGATCAATTAATATTTTCCCTTTTGCTATGGAGGCAGGTGTACTGTAATGGTAAAAATCATTTTTTTGTTCGAAATATCTTTTTTCCATGTCCCTATTGCTGTTATTTTCATTGGCGCAATATTAAAAAAAGAGTTGGCATTTATATTAAAGGTCTTAAAAAATAAGGGATTGCCATGTTTATTTTATTAATTAAACCTTGTTTTGTAGGAATGTTAACTTTGCCATGTCTAACATAAAGCTCTTTTGCCTTTTTAACAACAATGACTTCAAAAAAGCGTAATTTTAAAAAGGTTTTACCACTCATTTTATTTCGTTTTTAGACCTTATAATAATAAAGAGGAAATAGGGCTTGGAAAATTCGACACTCACAGAACAAATTGAAGACAAGAGAGACAGAGGAAAACAGCGAGAAACATATCTAATGAGCTTGTGTAAATGGTTGACAGAACAGAGATTAGAAGAGAAGGGAAAGAGACAAAAAAATTTACTAAGAGCTACAAAGGACCGGAAATTGTGGAGAGCCATTATTGTTAACATTCTGAAGGGACATGGGACATAGAAGAAAAATGATTTAGTCTGTTATACTTACAAAGTTAAAGAATTATTATTTATGGTATTTAGTTCTGTACGAAGTCTGTAATTTCTTTATTTTTCCCCAACACACAGACAAAAAACAAAAAAACAAAAAAACGCTTAATGGGAAAGATAAAGTCTAACTGTAACAGTTATAGAAAGATAGAAGAAAATGATATTGATGGATTATGTAATCATATAAGTAACAATTACTTATGCGCTTAAGTAACACGTAACACTTATGTAACAAACAGATTTTTCGTTTTTTAATCTACAAATATGTCAGTTCATTTTGCCGCATCATATATGTATACATATACAAATATACACATATATAATAAACTCTCATGTAAATAAACATAAGAGGAGTAATAATGGATAGTGGCTCGGATTGAGAAATCGGAGAGCCGAGTTCGAATTCCAGTCGAATCCATTACATTCACTTACCCTTGGGAAAGGTATGAATTCTCTTCTTCTCCCCCAGCTATGAGTAATATAATCTCTAATATAATATCTACTGGTCTACAGAAGAAAGAAATGCGGGAAAAATCTGCCTCGTCATCAGTCATGTATCGAAAGATACATGATCATCTAAGAGTGTATCACGCATAGTACATAACTGAAATAAACATATATGTATATATTATATACACATACACACACCGATGTATTTATTTTTAATCATTTCACCCCAGTTAAGGTAAGAAAGACATTGAGATGGTTACTACTGACTGTAAAGAGAATAAGAGAAAAAACATCATGAAATGATAGTACAATGGGAATTGTGAAGACAAAGGATAGCGATTGGTATCCATTGTGTGTGTGTAAAGGTTGAAAGTATGGATTAAGTTCCGACAGAATGTTTGAGTAAGGAACTAGTTTCTTATTTAATCAATTTTTTTTTATTTACCCATTAATCGTTTGTTTCATACAGTCCGATTTTCAAAATATTCCTTTTTAACTGTCTCTCTAAATATAATCTCTAAACACAATATTTTAATCATATATTTAAATTAAATTTAAAAAAAAATTACTACACAGAAGTAGAGTGTCCAATATCGGAGATAGGCTGTTTGTAGATACAGGAATCAATGATTACTTGAGGCGTGAAACAGGCATTGACCAGGTAGTGTTGATTCCTATGTTCACGTTGTGTGTCTTATATCATTATATATGTTATATGATGCCATGCGATGTTAAATTCTATTTCATAGTCATTTGGAACATTTAAGCTAACAACATTCCAAAATCTATACTGGCTATATCTGGATTTACAATCCTCTTTCTTGAAAACGATCAACGGTGATGGTCGAAAGTACTCGGATTTTAACATTTCATTTTGGTAAATCTCTTCGTGAGTTTCCACTTTCCAACCAACATTAAATAACTAATTCGACAGTAGAAGAAACTCGGTAAAACATTCAATAGACACTGTCTATCTGTTCTATATATATATATATATATATACACACAGAAAAAGAGAGACACACACATACACATATAACGAGAGAGAGAGACAGACATATACACACACACAAAATCCTTTTCGGGGAAAAACGTGTTACACATTTTTCTCAATTTTTCATTTAATTGCCAAACAGTGGCTATATATATATATATATATATATATATATATATATATATATAAGTTTTTTTTAAGATTTTTTTGTAATACACACACACATATTTGTGTATATCCCACAAAAATGCTTCATGCAAAAATTCATATATATATGAGGTTATATAATTACACATAGCGATTTTTTTTTCTTTTTCACTATCTGTGTGTAATTCATGTCCAGGTCGTCGGAATAATGAACGTGTTCGCGTGTGAAAATCTGTGCCCACAGATATAAATGACAGACTTTTGAAGAAATATTTACAGATCGATCAGCTGATCAATTAGCCAAGATTAGTCAAGAAGATATATCGTCTTCACATCATTCAGTTTTCAAACTAAGTAAATATTCCTTTTCTTCGCCAAAAAAAAAAAAAAAAAAAAACCAAAAAAAATATCTCGAGAACGAAAATTTAAAACGCAAACATAAAAACATTTGCAGTTACAAAAAGAATACAGGAATAAATAAGTTCTTTACACAAAGATCAAATAAGAATTCTACTAGGTAATTAATTGGTAAAAATAAAACTAAAAGTCAGAAAGGAAAGGGAAAAAGTGACAGTGTGCGTTTGGAAGACTTACTTATATCTACACTAATGAAACCATAAAAAAAAATAACTTAGAAAAACGAAAAGTAAAATAATTTGGAGGTGGTGAGACGAAGAGAGAGATAGAGAGAGAAAAGAAAAGTCGAAATGTCGAACGGTGTTACAGTTTGACGTACTTTCAATTGACAGTAAGCGGAAACGGAGTTTCGTAATAATGACATTGTAAGAGGTCGGTGTAAATTGTCAATGACAGGTCCAGTCGTCAGTCATCTTTCCCTGTCATTCTCATCTATTTCTTTCCCCACTCCCGTGCGTGCGCTCAGCCCTCCGTTTCTTGCCTTCGTGCCAATACGACCAGACGTTCTCGTCAGTCTGACATCACGTAACATAGAAACAATGTGTTGCGCCAATCTTTCAGATAAAGGATAACCTGTTTAAAGTACCTAAATTCCTGATCAGCATCTAGCTTCGAACACCGGCCACTGACACAAATACGAAATCGATGAGTTCGATTTAAAAAGTAGGGAGAATCTATCTGTGAGAAGTTTATCATGCGCCATTAAGTCAGATGGGTCTACCGCAGGAAAAGTGCGTACTACGCCCGAACTGAGGGGTAGGGTGGCTGGGAACCTGGATTGGAAGTCCTGGCAGTTTTTTTTTTTTTTTTTTTTTATGACTCTCGCTATCTTATAAACGTTGGCTTTTTTTTATCTACATTTATTTACGCTACAAATTAAACTCAACTGACTAATGATTTTTTTCAGATGTTGACGTCATTCTGAGTTCTTTTTATTCAAATCCTTGAATTTGTTTTGCTCATGTTAAGTCTCGAAAAAAAAAAAAAAAAAGCACTATATAAAATTCACTATTTTTTTTTATTCATAATGTTGAATGTGTTAAAAAAAATTCAGCTTTTTAACAAGAAAAATCTCAAGTTTGTTAAAAATTGCCGAAAAACATCGATTTAAAATGGAATGGTCAGTTAGATACATTGTATTTATTTTCATTTTTTTTTTTAATTGAATTGTTGTTCACCTATATTGCATATGATCCATTAGTGTACATAATTAGGTTATAAAATTTACATTTTATACTACCTTATGAAAATTGAGATGTAATGAGGGTCCCTATATCATAAATTGGGTGGCGGGTGCATGAGACCCTTGAACTGGCTCTGGCCTTCCAGAGGTGCTGATCACTATTCTAAATAATGAACCTTTGCTTTGAGCTGAACTCGAACATCGACCTAGAGTGTGAAATATGCATCTCCCGATGAACTTACAGCACAAGCACAAAATAAAGCGGGAAAATTGTGAGTCAACAAATTTTACATTACAAGTATTAGAAAGGCTCATCTGCTAGAAAACTAGCATTCGAAATCCTGGGATCGAATATCGATTGATGTGAAAAAACACAATCATATCAGCTACGATCACGTTCATCTTTGTGTTTCCAATCGGGAACCTTTACTTAATCGATTAAATAAAACTTTCAAATGTTGTAAATGTAAAAAACTAAAACCTACTTTTTTTTAATTAAAAATATTCTACTTTTATTTAATGGTAAAATAAAATACTATTTTAAAAATAGTCATTGATATCTCTTCTGAGAAAGATATACTTTTGAATAAAAATTATTGAAACCTTTTAGTTTTATACTTACACACATCTCGAGCAGTGCTTATTTTCCGTTGTAGATGTGTTTATTTACGTTAAAACACCTGTCCCCCGTACGATCACCGAAGTTAAGCAACGTTGAGCCTGGTCAGTACCTAATTGGGTGACCGCTTGAGAATACCACGTAGCGTAAGCTTGGGTGTATGGATGGTGTAATAATGGTTAGGAATTGTTAATTGGAGAGCAGAGTTCGTTATATTCACTTATGTGCAAATACCCTTGAGAAAGTTACGAATCCATCCTTTCTTTCATTGAACTATGGATTAATTAGTAATACTTGTATAACTGACTAAACCATTATTATGTAAAAAAAATTCTTACAATATGTCCAGGCTTTAAATAACTTCTAAATGGTTGATAAACCTTAGAAAACGAATCAATCGTTTTATTTAGTAATTCCGCCACCCTGTTTGACAGAACAAAGTTACAAAAATAAAGTATCCATGACATAATACCCGGTAGTCGACCGGTATCCGAGTGCACTAAAAAAAAAAAAAAATAGTCTACTTTTAGTTGTTAAGTGTATATTTGTGTGTATGTTAGATTTTCTTAGAAAGTAGTATGGTACCAAGAAACGAAAAACACTGTCAAATAACAAAAAAAAAAAAGAAAAAAAAAGCGAAGTTAAAATTTAAACATCACTCAATGATATTTAAAAATGGCGACGGCAACCAATTGAAATGACAAGGAAAAGAACCTCTGCCATATTTTAAATATGGCTGAAGCCCCACAGAGTGATGACGTAATATTTGAAGAAAATTTGAAACATAATAAGTGGCGTTTTGAAACCGTGTTTCAAACGATAAAATCGAAACTTATTTGAGTCTTCGAGAAAACAGAAGTATGTGCTGAAAATTTGAGGAAACTTGCTGTCACTCAGTCTACAGCGATAACAGACAAACATGCAAATGTATTAAGTAATAACAATAATAATAAGTAATTACCTCCGAAGTAAGGTTGCCAGAATGTGGAACGTAACGGCCATTATTGTCCCAGTTGGGATCTATACCATAGAACATAAAGACCTGCATTAAGAAAATAAAAATAAAGTCTAAGTAGTATCCCATCGCTTCAGAAGTCTGCGTTGATTGGCTCTGAAAATATTCAGAGAAAAGTGCTGTTTGGGAGTCGTACAACTTAATGGAGAACATCCAACAGGCAAGATCTCCATTTGAAAACAAAAAATCGCACGGAAAAAAGAAAATAATAAAAATATTAATAATTGACCATCTATCAGGTTGCACGGTGTTAGCACTCGTCATGAGAGAATGGGCCAATATCTGCACTGCAAGATATGCAAGTTTTACAGGACAGAAACTGTAAGAAACTGGTATGAACACCACCCAGACCCGGTTACAGAGATAGGACCTGTAACAATTTTATGGGACTTTACAATACACACAGACAGAAAAATCAAAGTTAATCGCCCAGACGAAAGACCTCAAAAACAGAATGTGCTTTCTTATTGACTTGACAGTCCTTGCATATTGTAATGTATGTTTGAAGGCCTTCAAAAAATATCAAAATACAAGGATCTTGAAGAGGAAATCTTAAAAAAAAAAGTGACATATGAAGACATCAATAATTGTAGTTGGGGCTCTTGGATTGATTGGAAAAGGTTCCGATAGACTCATTGAAGGGATTCCTGGCAACCCATACCTTGAAGAAATACAAAAAATGTACTCACAAGTATAGCTCACACCTTACGAAGGACTTTAAAAATGTTATATATATATATATTTTACAAAAATGATCCGTGGAAAATGTCATGAATCCTTTCTGACCTTAGATCTCTGGTTGGTACCAGGAAAGATATGTGTATACAATAGAAATCAAAGGAAATAACAATGACAAATGATCATGCTACATCAGGTATGGCTCTCATGGCTTTTTATTCTAACTGATTGGATGTGATAACATGTACACATCTCGTTATAGTAAATTAAGGTGGGCTATAATAAATATCCAATTCAATACAACAGATTTTCTCGTTATATATGCGTGCATTTAACCAGTTCGGCATGTCCACTAGGTGCTGACGGACTGTGCATCTCTGCTCACGGGCGGGAGTAGTATCATGGTCGGGTCTCAAGAAGGATGTATTCATTAACTGAAGGATGAGGCAACTACGGGGGCTTGGGAATTACATTTTGATACTGAGGAACACGCTCAATCGGAGATCGTCTGAGAGGACTGGGTTACCCGACCAGAAGGTATTTCCAATGAGGTCCCATCTAGAGTGATATGCGTTGCTATTATAAACAACCTGTCACCATATCGCTTGCATTTGGTCGTGATTCACGTATCTGGTGCATCCTTATCAGGCTGGATGTCATAATGCCATTTACGATAATGGGTATATTGGGCTTCGTGTATTTTTAACTCAGCGTCACTTTGTTGGCGTGATGCTCCACTCACTCAATAATAATAAAATTAAAAACCGAAATAGTCATGCGCCAAAACCGGCGGTTTACAATCGATCAAGTAACGTTTATTATTTCCTTTCAGGACATTAAAATGCTGGCTTTTCAATAAAATTCTACTGTGAGCCAGGCGTGTAAAAGAGTGTCGAGTAATTTTTATTTAAAGCATTTGCTGTGTGAGGTTATTTTTTCCCCCAGTTTGTACATTTTTAATGCCAAGTTAAATAGCGTGTTTCGTTATAATTAAAAAATGTTTATGCTTAGATCAAACAATATGTTACAAAGAGTTCAAATTTATTACTGGCCTTACGTTTCGTTGGTTTTATCGTAAAATAAGATTTAATGTATGAAAATAAAAACGGACTAAGCAGGTGTACTTTTTTAAATGCTCAACAAAATCCAACACTGTAAAATAAAATCGTATAAAATATAAATAGTCATAAAATAATTTTTTTTTATTTTATTTTTAAAACCAATCATTGGCCACTAAGTCTCTATATTCTTTCTTAGCTTAAAATCAAATGTGGACATCCGAGGTGAAACGACAACGTTGAATACTTTGGGGATATTTTTTATTACTTTCTTGTGGGGGAAGGGCAGAATTACTACCTTTTTGGAATGACTCGATCGCTTGGTTCAATATTGGATGTTAACATTGGCATATCCGACGAAGAGCAGTTACGGGTCGAAACTTTGTTATTTTTCGTTTGGGATGTAAAGTACGTTTATGATGTCTAACAATAATTTATTAATTAGCTCGTAACCACAAAGCAAAACAAGATAAAAATTGAACATTTGTATGCTGTTTTTCTTTTTTTTTAATGTTAAGTTCGTGTAAGTAAAGCGGAAAAATGAAGTATTAAAAAACTCGAGAATTTTTTTTTTCTGTTTGAAGGACTAAAAATAGTGAAGTAGGAACAGAAACTGAATAAAAAGTTATAAATTTTCGATTTTTTTTTTGACAATTCGTCTAAAAAAAAAAAAAATCAACAAATATCAAGTACGTGTTCGTGTGTGCGCGCGCCAGTGAGAGCGATAAAATCAGTTTTGTTTGATTCGCAAAAGTCACTTTGGTGACTGACTGGAAAATTGAACATAAATAAAATAAATTCTTTTTTTACAGAAATTTTAAGCGGCCCAGTATTAAATGAAATTTTGCACCTCCTCTCTTTATGCAAGTTGTCATAATCAGGTATTATCGAATAAATTATTCAGTATGTGTGTATCTGTACAACCAACCAAAAAACAACAAATATACGTTTTACTTTTCATGCTCACTAATTGATATTTATTTTTTGACGGTTTCTACCTGACGGAATTAAAAAAAAAGCAAAGCGAAACAAAACAACCCCAAAAAAAAAACAAAAAACAAAACAAAACAAAAACAAAACAAAAAAAAAAAAACCAAAGCAAAAAAAAAATGAAAAACTAAAAAACATACGATATTTTTCGATGGTGGTTGGGTGAAGTTCGATCGCATAATTTATCATGCCGAAGATCATTTGCTGTGGAATTATATGTTCACTATCGTTTAAGACTGAGTGTGTGCGTAGTTTGATACTTTCTTAATTCTTTAAGGACTTTTTGCTCGTTTCTTTTTCTGCTATTTTAAGAGCATTTTTCGTACTTTCCGACGAAAATTTAAATAAAATGTTCGATGTTTAAAATTAAATTATTTTCGGCTTTCGTTGATAAGAAAAATGATCCGAAATACAGTAAAAAATAAACAAAAATGCTTTATCAAAAAACATTCATTGCTTTTTAGTTTTTTTAACCAAACTTGAGAGAGAGAGAGGAATTAAACACTGTGTAGTGACTGTCAGTTTCATGCCAATGCGATCTTCAGACCTAATAATAAATCAATATCTTAAATAAATCCTTCGATTAAAATTCGAGGCTAAAATGGTTGGATAATGTTGGAGTGGTGAGAAGATTTGCTGTCTCTTGATCTTAAAGTGAAAAAAAAATTATCATTAGAAATAAATCAATCAATAATTGCAATAACGTTCTTTTTTCCTTTTCTTTGAAATTTTCAAATTATTTACAAAATAATCGTGTAATACGTTTTTAAGTTTAGATCTACCACATGGTGCCAAAATAACTCAATTCAGTGAAAACTAAAAAAAAAAAAAAATAAGGAAAATGAGCTTATGTGTTCGTTATTAAAAAGTACTCAGTAGTAAACTTTTAATTTAAATTAAAAACCACAATTTAAAGTAGAAAAAATATTTTAAAAGTTGAGAGGGCTCTCTAAATGGAATTGGACAATAAATGTGACAATATGAAGAAAACAAAGAAAGTGTTAAATTCTGAAGTATCAGACAGGCAACCAAATATGACAACGGTGGCGATGATAAATTCCAAAAAGAAAAAAAAAACACTGAAAAGTTTCAACTCGATATATTTCCCAACAAACTACTAATGAAGCAAAATTGGTATACATACAATTTGGCATAAATCAGCTTTTATTAGTTCTTAGACTTCAGATTTAAAATCGAAGAACAATATTTTTGAATGTTTTGATACCCGCTCGAGTCATTTCGTGAGTGAACGAATTTATTAATTTAAGGGAGAAAAACAATCTCTGTCTCTAGTCTAATGGTAACAACAAAAGAAATATTTCGGAAAAGTTTTTCATCAAATGCTGTACTCATAGTATTCATTACTCATAGCGTATATAACTCCTGCTTTCATACCAGAGCATTTCACT